ATGTTTATGCTGAGAACTGTATAAAATAGGGATTTATTCGTATATAACGCAAGCAATTTGGTCAATCAAGTGATTAACCAGTACCGCCGTTCTGGTTCCCATGTTACGACGCTTCTTCAAGTTGGTCATATTTGATTTCCGAAGTTCGTTCTATGGTCCGCAACTGTTGTAACGTTGGAAGCCAAAGACTTTTTGCCGTTTAGTTTGTACTGTAACATAAATATGGGTTCGTATGACGGTCTGTTAATGAAGCACGCTGCTGTCGAAATCACTGAATTTTATGACTGTTACATTATCCGTTGCTCCTGCTGCGTATAGAGCTAAATTAAACGGTGTAGATTTATGTCGCATGGAGGAGTTTAACCCTGTAAAATATAAACCGATTGTTTATTGTGTTTTTCGTGATTATACCATGTGCTTAATATTCACATTTGATCGCTGACTGTGATATGGGCAAAGACGAAGTGCAGCCACAACTGGTGCTCGCATAACACAGCCGTACGTTTCATTCATTCTATTGTACCACGCTAGGACATCATGCTGTGGCTGTTGTTCACAAGTCACCGGCATGCTACCTGTTTCTCAGCTGTTTCTCAGACTGAAGCATCGTGGAGTAAATTCGTTGCTTAAGGGAATTGATTGTTAAGACAGGTAATCCCTTCTCGTATTCGAACCGGGCACTTCCTGAGTTCGATGCCGACCTCTTTGTCACTCTACCACCTGGACCCTTAGCATGGAAAGAACATCAGCTTCTGAAGCGCTGCCGGTAATGAATGAGGTGCTGAAAATATCGTATATGATCTAGCACTGCAAGCACACTTACGTGATTGAACCGTGGTGTGCTAAAAATGTCCTCTCCTAGGCAACAATGAGAAAATGGCAGTGCAGCTGGCGGTGAGATTCAAAAATTCGGTGTTATGTTAATACAGTGCTATGTATTAGTTATACTGTCGTAATCGTGACGAGCTTCAAGTCCGTGAATAATGTTCATCGGAAGTTGTGCGACCTTCTATGACTTATGTCGGGCGAGAGTTGTCGCTCAAGAAACGTCGAAATTCGAAAAACAAAATCTTTTTACCAATCACTGTTTCCTCCAACCGTCAACTGCTTTTTAGGACTCACACCTACGACATGCCTCCTAGTGAGGAAGCGCAGCACAAGTTCGGTGGCGCCAAGTCAATATCCTCGGACCAGTTTTTCGGCGGCGGCAGTACCGACGTAAGTTAAGCGGCGTTATGTCTCGATGCTTTAGCACGGCATTGCCGGCGTTTGCTTAAAACTAAGAAATGTTCGGCCATCATTTTGTGATTATAAGATATGGAGAGTCTTCTCGATCGTTTCTTGTACATTTTTTCGCTCTCTGCTTTCCCGACTAACGCGAAGGTTTTTCTTTGGCATTGATCCGGGTTTTTTGAACAAAGCACCGGTTGATATTTTTCTCTGTGTGTGTGTGGCTTTCTCAGGTCTTCGGTGAGAAATTGTGATTTCTTTTAATGTTTCGACTTGTAGATACTATTTTTTGTGACGGAATATGTGAGGTGTTTTGACATTGGTAGAGACGATGCTGCTCTGGATGGTTTGCCGTGTCTTTTGATCTGATTCTTATTCACTTATTTTCTACTCTTTCCGGTGCGAGGTCTAAGCGGTTACGGCGCGTTTTACCGTGTTTACCGTTGGTATGGTATTGCTTACCGTCGTTTGGTGAGTTCTTACTCAGAATTGTTTTTTTAATGATTTATATAAGTGATACCATATTGTACAAGATGTCTATGCTGTCGTCGGCTGTCGTCTCTCTGTCTGTGTCCTGTACATCGCATACCTGCCTTTGTAACGTGGCGCTGTTTTGTCTCTTTCGAAGTAAACTCTCAACTCTCCGTGCTAGAGATCTGTGGTCTCAAAGTGACGCGATTTTTCCTTTTTTGACAGCAACAAGCGTATCATAGTCTGGTCGTTTATTCCGCTGGATTGAGCGGATGGAGCTCTGTTACCGTTCAGCTTCTGCTTAAAAGCGTTTGATCGGCGAAGGTTATGCTGATTGCTTTCTTCTGGGCCATTAACGGTTCGAAACCGAACTTAGGTTAACTTGATACTGGTTCCGTGCCGAATCATGATATCGCCAGTAGTCGCTGCCGTTACAAAATTTACTTTTGTAAGCCTAACTAAACCCTTAGTACTGCAACTGTATTATCGGTACTGTACGTGCCATGTTTTCGTTATCCATCCAGATGGTAGGTAAGACGGATTACTGAGTCGGTTTAGCTGCAGATTCAACCTAAAAGTCCCGGGTTCGAGCCCTGTTCGGCTCAGTCATCTTTCTTGATTCCGATGTTGATAAATAAATACCATTCTGTGATGTATCTACTTGCCACATACTTACTGTCGGCTGTGACTTGAAAATAAGTACTCCTGGCTGATGGCATTGCAACACATATC